TTGTGCCATCCTATTCGGTCCCTATGATTTTCTTTACTAGAGATCGTGTCAGGGATACTGAATGTGCAACTGCTGTAAAAGCTGTAAATAATTGAGTTAGGTGCAAAGGATAAATGGACTATCAATGTACTGATCTATTCCGCTATGTCTAAAGACTGTCATTCTAATAAACGTTTAATCTTAATCCATGGTGTGGTTTTATTTTGAATTATTAAGCAATGTTGCCTTTTGCTCAGTCAAGATTAGCAACCTCTTTTAGTTGTTTCCAGACTGTTCAGCATTAATATGTGATGATGATTACTATATGAACAATAACACAATTTATTTAGAGAAGTTTTAATAGTTTGAAAATAAGAGTATACTCTCTTAAGGTTCATTACCAAGTGACCCCTTAAGAATCCTAGGATTTAATAAAGTCTTTCCTGCCTATTATTTAATAAAGTCTTTCTTTCTTAAGGCTTCCCAAGGTTTTAACTGTGTGCTCTATGTCTTTGTCTTTTTTCATTTTTTTATTATTGGAAGGAATTCTATTCTCTACAATGATATGATTTCACTATAAGGAGGTTCATAATATTTTCAAGACATGAAAATTAGCAAGGACACTAATTCTGTTTGCCTGCCTGCTTGCCTTTTTCTGACAACCACATTTATATTCCTAATCTTGGAAATAAGTTGAATAAATGAAATATTTTCTTTGTAGGAAGAGAATGTTAAAAAAAACCCCACAATGGTTTAAATATTTAAATTGCATAGCAGCCTAACCCACCTCAGGGGATTGTGGTGTGGAAAATAAGAGGCAGGAGTATTAGGTATATAGTGGTTGCTTATTGTTAGCAACTGAGACTGGGAACTCTGTCAAGCGATGCAGTTGTAATGCATGATGTCATAATTGTGAGCCACTTGCCAAGTGCACAAATTGTGATCATGTGATCACAGGAGTGCCGCAACAACGGCAAGTATGAGGACCCAACATAAGTTCCCTTATTCAGTGTCATTATAACTTTGAACAGTCACTAAACAAGTGGACATTAAACGAGGACCATATATAAAAAAGGCAGGATAACAATATAATAATAATATTTTATTTTTGTAAAAATGTTCAACATCTTAATTTTTCATTATTAAAAAATACTGTTTTAGGAAATCTACATTGTACCCATTCCTCAAATAAAATATAATAAAAACATGAAAACATTGTCATTTTATAATTGCTATGTGCCTTCCACCATTTCTTCTTTGTTCTCTCTCATACAGATTAGATTAATTTCGTAATCTCTGCCATTTTTATACTTCAGTTAGTATTTATTGTTATTCTATAAATATAATAAATAGTATTTGCTTTTCATTACGAACCATTTACTTGCCACAAACATGTTGCAGTTGATATATATTCTGTTTTATACATATGTTTTCCCCTATGTACTGATCTAATAAAGGGTCAGGTGTACTTGAAGTAGCATATAAGCCTGAGATACACAGCCATGGGACTAAAAATCATGGAATGCTTATTTTTTGTCATATAAGCGATTACTGAGCATTCCTAGTGGATAGATAAAAGCGGTAAACCTTGAAAACATAAAACAGACCCAGATGAACAGAACAATCCTATACATTACTCAGTTGACTTAAATTTCCAGCAAGGTTCTCTGTCATGGACAAAAGTGTTAGGTATTTGTTTATTTATTTACTCATTGTATATGACTGCCCATCTCCTATGCATGAGTCTAGTAGTAACAGTTAAACAGAATAAAACATAATAAAACAACATTAATAACATAACAGCAACTGTGAACATAACTATGACAGAGAAGAAAACACATTATCATTATACAGTACACGAAGGGTAACTTGTCTGATCCATTGAAGAGGAAAGTAGGTGTCTTTTGGCAACTGAACAGTTTAGCAAATCCCATTAAAATATCATCATGGTTTCAATAGAGGAAATAATAGGACAAGGATGTAGCATACTAAATTTTTTTATTACTTTGTAACCATTATACTGTAAGTTCAAATATAAAGAAAATTTAGCACCAATGTAAATTTTCAAGCCCTACCTTGATGTTACGTTATTATCTGTTTTCATTCCACATATTCTTCTGTAAAAATCCAATTGTAACAGTACCCAAGTGATTCATTGGAATATAAAAATGATACAAATAAATAAGTAGGTAGAATACATGAAAAAAAAAGCACGAACATTTGTTGTTGAATTATAGTTAATTGAATGTTATATATCCGTTGAAATAGCCTGGTTAAAATGATTTGTGGTTGTAATTTCAGGGGGCTATAAGGGTAGCTTTAGCGAGGAAGCAGCTTTAGGTAACACATAAGGTCCTTCCCTCCAAAACGAAGGATAACATTTGTACCCCATGCTTGGATGCACAGGAATTGTGCTATTCTGCTCCACTCTTGTCACAGGGGGAATGTGTGTCTTGTTTGGGGTGTTGCTGAAACTGCCTCCAACTTCAGATCAAAACATTTATTTTATTCCATTTACAGATAGTCCTTGACTTAAGACCATTTAATGATGGTTCAAAGTTACAGCAGCCTTGGAAAAAGTGATTTATGACC